TATTTTAAAGGATTATTCACAATATTGTCTTCAAGTATATTCACTCACCAAACACAAACAACACAATCACCTTCATTCTGAAAGTCGACCTGAGGATTTAAAATAAAACACAAATGAACATTTCTGTTAACACGAAATCATAACAAGAAAACTAATTAAAAGTGAACACTTTCATTTTATACACAGCCACAGAGAGATTCTTCTTCACATGAACACTTTACAGAGAAACCACCGAGCCCTCGCTCTGTTTCCGTCCTCTCTCTGTGTCGTATGTTAAAAATGATAAAACTCAGTGTTAGACTTAGAAAGTGAAAAACAGTCTCACTGAGAAAGTCAAAACTTTCCTGTGGCTCCTTAATTAAATCTCACCAACAGCTCATGTGAAGGTGTTTCCTGTAAAGCTGTGGTAACTTTATCTGACTGCTCATCAGAAATGAGAAGTTTTTAAGAAGAAAAATAGAAATTTATTTCCTTTGGACCGACTTAAATAAATTCTCCTACAAAAACACCTCAACTGAGATCATTATACGTCCAATTAAATAGCGTCAAAAGGAATATTAACACTTATTAAGAATTTGCTGCCACCAAAAAGGTGCTTTCATTGGAGTTTCAAACGTAAATCTGTGAGTCCAAATTGACAAATTAAATCAGTTTTAACTTCGACTCCGTACAAACAACAATTTCTGAAAACACTTAAAACATTTAATCTGTATTTGCTCTTAAACTGGTGCCTCTGCAGTAACTTTGAACTCCATTACGGAGCAAACAGAAAGTTTCTAGGATGGTCATGTTAAATCCTATGTATTTATTTTGAAATATAAAACCAAATTTTAAAATGTAGGTTTAGCTCTTACCTTAATTTTGAACAGATTCTGTGTCTTTTAGTTCAGTTTTTGAAGCTAAAATCGTTTTTCTTTCTCTGTGCTTCACTTCACTGAAAATAAGATCTCAAGGATGCAAAAAGTGTAGAAGATGGAAGACATCTGAAGAGAGAGCTGCACTCTGGAAAGTTGTAGGCCACTGCAAACCCCAGATCTTTGTGGGTTTGCTACTCAGGTCTGCATTTTCCTGCAATCTAAGCCTGGCATTTTCTACTCAGTGCAGTTCTTACAAAAAGCTGAAGAAAGTTCTAGCACAGTGACTTAAAACAGGCTCA